AACAGGAATGGAGTGCTGCGATCCCTTCCCAGGAGCCAGGCCCGCCCTTCTAACTGCCTCCTCAGGATAAACAGCAACATGTAGGCATGCAGAAATATGCTGCTAAGGGTGCTCTCCGGGAGAGCAGATGGGGGACAGAAATGCGATAGTTCCCACTGCTGCAGCTGGTACCAAAGGTGGCTGTTGACTAATGCTGAGCAGTGAAAGAACCTATGATTGACAAGGGAATAGGAGCAAGAATGCGCACTTTGAGCAGAAACCCTGGGTCTCTCCAGGTCTGAAAGACCTGACGCTTTGTTGGAATTTTCTTGAAGCCACTTTGGGGAGAAACAAACAACAGTTGTCAGTGGTGATCTGTGTGGTGAGCATATCTGTACCCTGAGGGAGGAGGGACAGTGCAGCTCCTGGGGTGGGCAGGTGGCAGAGGAGCAAGTCCTGTGATGCTCACCAGAGCTGGCTGACAGCATCACCAGGCTTGCTGTAACCTCTCCGCTGTGCCCCTTCACCACGGGGCACCAGGGTGCATGCACTGAGCGTGTTTCACGGGACTGAGTTCTCGTTTTAAATTAAAGGAGAGCTCATCCGCAGTGTCTCCTCCCTGGAACTCTGAACCACTAACACCAAAGAGAGCCGAGGGCCCTGTTTCAAATCACTGCCAAAAAGAAGAGACAGATAGATGTGAAGGGATTAATAAACTAGGTTTGATTCCTCCTTCTCTGTGTGGTGGGTTGACCCTGGCCAGCAGCTGAGCACTCACAGCACCCTCCTGGTGGGATAGGTGAGAGTAGGGAGAGCAAAAGCAAGATTTGTGTGTTGGAATAAGGATGGTTTAATAAGGGAAGGAAAGAGGGGAAGAACAAGTGAGGCAAAGGCAACCATCCACAGCCCGCAAGCAGCCCAATGCCCAGCCCGCCTTGGAGCAAGTCATCCCAGAATACAAAACCCTTCCCCTTCTGCTACCCCAGTTCTATAGCAGAGCACGACACGTGGTGCAGGGCATCCCTTGGGTAGGCTGTGGTCAGCTCTCCCAGCTGTGTCCCCTCCCGACCTCTTGCCCCCCACCCCATCCTCCTCGCTGGAGGCAGAATGGGAAACAGCGATGGCCTTGCTGTGCAAGCACTGCTCAGCAGCAGCCACAGCCCTGGGGGGTGATGGGCACTCTTGTAGCCACCCGTGCAAAGCACAGCATTGCCTGGGCTGCTGCAAGAAAGGCAGCGGGACAAGAGGTGGGAGTGGGTGCTGGCAGCCGTGGGTGTATTCCCCCAGCATAGCCACCTTCTGTGTCCCCCGCTCCTCGGGTGAGGGGAAAGTGGCGCTCAGCCTTAGGTAAAACATCACGGAATCAGGATGTTGTACTGTTGCAAGATAAGTGAAACATTCCACAGCATCACAAGATCGCAAAGGGCTTTCCAAATTCCACAGCATGGAACCACGGGCTGACAGTGGCAGGGATGGTCCAAGGATTTGGTGATGGATGGGAGCAGGGAGGAGCCGCGGACGCTTAAAGCCCAGGCAGAGCTAGAGCTCCAGGGGCTGCGGATGGCAAACTGCAGGCAGCAATCCCCAGTAAGACCATCCAACCTCAGGATATCTCTGGTTTTGATCCAGCCTGTTCTCCCCTTTCGTGCAGTGCTCCCCGTATGTAGGATCCCACAACAGGGATTTCAATTGCTTTTTTTCATCACTTCATGTAGGAAAAATCTAGTGTGTTAACTGTGTGTCCTGGGTAAAACAACTCACTGAATCTCAAACCTGTGCGCTGGCCACAGCGTTACTTTTACTGGCTGCTGCGGGCCGGTGTCAAGATCCCGGGTTTTGGCACGTGGGTGACTCTCGATGGTGGTTCCTGCAGCCATTGGGCAGAGCCCTGGAGATGGCAGCAGCAGAGCTCGTACCTGGTGCTAAACCTCAGAGCGCTCTGCTCCGCTCTGCCTTTCTCTGGTTCTGGGCAAATTTCCACCTTTTCTCCTGCACATATTTGCATGCAATACAAAGTTTGCCCTGCTGTGCCTTAGTGAGGTTATCTCCTCTCGTCTCAGGGATGATTTCTTGGTTTCTTTAAGGTGGCCACTATATTTAGTGTTTATCCCTGGGGTCCTTCTGAGCTTGAGGAGAACAGCAGCAGGATGCCAGCAGAACTCCAATAAACTTATGTGAGTACTGGGAAGCCAGTCACCCCCCAGCCCTAGTTCTGTAGCTAGCAGCACTCCACAGAGCCTAGTAAAAAAGGTATTTGAAGCCAGTATTTAAAGTGGGAACACCAGACAAAGTAAGTGTTCCCTGAAATAAGATTGTCTTCGAAAGGAGA